GGCTTACTGTCAGTAAGAATACACGGTTTATGGTGGGACTGAATGATGTATGGACCAAAGTGCCTTGTTGCGATGGCAATAGAAAGGGCCTCAATTTCACATGGAAGCCATGTTGCCTGACGGTCTCGAAGCTTGGCACTGAAGAAACCTGCGAGGTGGAGCTTGTCACCACGTGAGACATACATGGTGGACCCAACACTGTTTTTTAATGGCTGCATCAGTGACGATCCATATCTGATCGTGCGATTTGACGATAATGCTAACTGAGCAACACGAAAGGAATCACGAAGCTCATCCAACCATTGAATTCTATCTTGGGATTGTTGTCCAATAGTTGCATCTTCTAGTGGAGCAACAAGAGAAGCACAGCCTGGTAACACTAGCTAGGACCTTATATGCGCCTATAAATGATCGTAGGTTGCGTATCTTTTCCGGTGGAGAACATGATGACAACGTAGAGATACGGTGTTGGCTTGCGCGGATGGTTCCCTCATTCCATACCCAACTGAGAATTGTGACTGTTGCAGGGCAGATGACGGTTTTTGATGGTGACAGTCTTAAGTCATTGGCTGCTAAATTACACAGGAGACGTCTCCAATTTACAAGAAGGTCCTCGATTTTATTTGCACCGCAGTACAGATCATCTGTGAGTTTGGCAATGCTACCATCCTCAAGCATGTCACCAAGTACGCGACACATTAACTCCTCCAACGCTGTCCCAGAGTCTGGCATTCCCATGGCTGAATGCACGCATACGCGGACACCTTTGAATGGGGTTACAACACCACAGTATTTTTGTGACTCGTGTGAAAGGGGAATCTGATAGAAGGCCTTAGTGAGATCGGTGGTGATGATATACTTCCATTGTGCAATTTGGCGTAGTGTGCTGTCCTTGTCTGGCATGAGGGCGGGTTGTGGCTTACTGTAGCGGCCAGGAGTGCGTCCTGTTAGAGGACGTGCATCAACTTGGTCAAAGGTGAGACCAACATGTGGTCTTTTGTTTATTACTTAGCGCCTGTGTACCTGTGGGTTTATTCTGTGTGTATTTGGATGTTCTAATCTTGGTGTTTTTCCAGTGATTTCTAGGTGCAATCCAAATACAGTAGGGTGTGTCTTGTTTACCCAAGATTTGCAAGAGTTTGAGCTGGCCAAATGGTTTTTTTTTATATGGTTGATTACTGGCATGTTAATTTTCTCATTTTTGAGCCATGTTTTCAACTTTCTTTATCATTTTTATATAGCAATTTCATATGTTAACATTGTCGTCTATGGAGTTTCAATTAGTGGTATGAGCCCTATATCTGTTCAACATACATACTCTTCCTACTAACTAGTATGCCTACATCTTCTGCATTCAATTGAAGGTAAAACAGTTGCTTAGCAACAACATGATCTGTTTCATAAATAGTCTGATCAACTTAAAAATAATTTCATATGATTTTATCATTTCTAATTTAAAGACGAGTGTAATATAACTTCAAGATCATAAAAATGGTTGACTTTTAATTATTGTAAAATACTTTATTTTAGCTGGAATGAATTTTCACTGAAAAGACATTTTGTATGGAGATTGTTTTTACTGATTTTCACGAGTTGAATGTAAAATGTAAAGGTATATTCACTGGATTTTATTTTCACTGAATCAGCCCTTCAGCATAAAAAACAGAAATCACCTGCAAGTGAAAATAAATTATTTTACAGTAATTCTAATTTCAGACTACATGTATGTAGTTTTGAATCACAGCCCAGACAGGAAATCATAACAGTCTGAGATAAAACACAAGTACAGTGTAAGGAAAGGTGTCTCATCACACTGGAATTCATGCTTGCTACCCACAGGAAAACTACCGGACAGTAACTACCCTTACATACAGACAGCTAATATCAACACTCATTGTCATCCCACTACCATCTGATTTTCTCTTTCTGCAAACAAATCAATAACACATTCTGTGTGGCAAAAGTAATCTAATTATTTCATTATGACTAACTTAGAAAACTAGAGTGAAGCTTGCCTATCTATCCTTGACGACATGAAATGGCTGTGGCAATCGCAGCAAAATCATGTGTGATGCAACGAAGAGTGCAAACCAGTAGCACCACACACTACCAGGCAGGACACTATGATGTAGAATATGATGTATTCATCTTCGGGTTGCAAATCCCACTCGCTGATTAGTGTACCCAAAGTAACCAAATGCAACACAAACGTGCTCATAATCTACGGAACAACACGATGGAAAAACCCATCAACTCATCCTGTTGCCTTGCATAGCAGATACAGACCACGTCCCTTTACGAGTTGAGTCATGTCGCGTCGTGTCACGTCAGAAAAGGTGTTGTGCGACAAGTTTAACTATTGTTTTGCCCACCAAAATCCTTGTGCAACATCGTACACCTTTTCGTGTAATATACAACTTCTTAATTTTTGACCAAATGAACATGAGTTGTCATTGGTTACGTCTTGATCATATATTGGGGGTCAGAAACTTTTGGAAACTATGTGCTTTTATGTTTCATTTGTTGCATTTTTAATTTTTAATTCCATTTTACCACTATACCTTCTAATACTGTAAAGGGATTAAGTATTCACTGGGTTTTAATTTTGCTTATTTCGCTGACTGGAAAATGCACTAAATTAAAACCCAGTGAATATGTAAATTTTAACATAGAACACATTATCTAAATGATAAAACCGTGAATTTAAAACCCACTGAATATGCCTGAAATGGTTAATCAGTGCAATTTAAATCCAGTGAAAATTAATCATTTTACAGTAGTATTGTTGTGAAATAATGTTATTATTATTCAGGTTTATTTTGTAAAAGGGGAAAATAGTTTTGAAGGAATGAAAGTCAAAATGCACACATTGTTTTGTGCCTGGAAATTGTGGAATTCTAAAGGGCTCTAAAAGTAGGGTGAACAAAATCAACATTGTCAGGCGTCAAAGTAGACTGCCTACTCCAGTAAAAGTCAACAATGCTCTGTCCTTTGTAATAAGTGTAAAAACATCCTGACAGTTGAAATACTGTGCTTAAGGGATGACCATTAGATACTATTGGTGAGGGGATGGTCAACAAATTTAATTATTTTTTTGAGCCATTTTTTTTTCTCCACAATGTTTTTTGTTTGATTTTTTTTTTCTACAGTTTTGTGTGCACATGTGGACTTTTTTTCAACATCACCCCCCCCCCATGTAAATAATGGTCAACCCCTAATTTATTGTATGCCCACAGTCTACATGTTGGATATAATATGTAGCAGGATATAACCACCAGAAAACAAAAACTAATTCCAGTCTTATGCAAGAGGAATTTTGATAGCCGTATCACATTCATAATATAAACAGTGATTACAACTCTGTTATGATGGTATTAATTAGCCGGGTGGGCAACTGAGCACTGTTGAGTAACGCTTACCAGATCTGGTAGAGAAAATAATCCAATAGAGATCAAATAACATACTTTAACAGCCAATTGGGGGCTGTATACCCAGAACTGTACTGTTTTGAGAGATTGGAAGATTTAATGATAGTGGCATTTTAGTGGTAGTTTGGAGCAAACTGATAACATGCAAGTTCATTGCAGCTAGATTTGTTTTCGTCAGTTTGAAAACTTGTTTTCACCCCCTCAAATAGTTCAAGCCAACCCACCCCCAAATTTCAAATGGTTTACTCCCAAGTGTAATCAAATAAACCATACAAAGTCTGTGACCTGAAGCCTGACCTTTGACAGCATGTAGGACACCAAGCACCAAATCAATAAGATACATGAAATATGCAGATTCATTATTTAGGGACTGACCATTAGAAACTGTGGGTGGGAAGATTATTAAAGTTATTTTTGTCCCCCACCGAGTTCCAAGATTTTTTGAGAATAATGTTACTGTGTTGTTCTTTCGAATTTTTTCTGTCGTGAGTGTGCACATTTTTTACCTCTAAGTCAACCGACCTAAGTTTCTAATGACCAAGCTTTTAGGATTTAATTAATTCAGCCAGCCAACAGTGGTGGCAGGAACAGTAATGCCAAAATTCCCAATGTTGTTTGTGATGTAAGGATATTAATCTTTCTCACTCAGCAGCTGATCTTACTTAGTTACGATTAAACTTTTCGGGAAGTAAACTAGAAATATCTTTCCTTTATCGACTCTAGCATTAAAAAAATCTATACAACTACAACCATCTAAAATTTGAACTGAACAAATTGATGTTGAAATTCTAACATTTCTTCTCTAATATTTGTACAACACACTAAAAATAGGAGATACAAAATGGATAACTTTGATTAAGTGTACAAAAATTTGACACTGGACTTGAAAAGATTGAACACATTATTTATGCAACAGACACCACAATCAGAAAGTAAAAAGATGAAATGGAGAAAGAAACTGATACTCGACCACCTTGAAGGAAATGAGAATTACTGAAAAGGATTTAAAACAGTTACGCCTGAAGGTTTGTATAAGTAAACCAGGCCAATTAAAGCATGAAAGGGTCCAACAAAGTGTTTTGTATTTTGTTCCAGGTCACTTTGGGGTTGATGAGGTCAAGTGCAAATGTACGCTAGCATCTGATCTGGTTACAAACAGGAAGGAAATACTAGCGATTCCTGGTTGTTGTTGAATCGGTAATCGGTCGTACAAACTTACAGGCATGACTGAAACCAGAGTTGTTTTACAGACTTGTGTTTACACTTGAATCAAAGGTTGATTATCATGAAAACATTGCTTTATGCCAATTTATATAGACTTGAATGTAATTAACCCCTTGATTTCCCACGTTATTAACGCAACATTCTGCAATTTTATATTTTTCTCTTATAGAATTGTAAACAGATGGATTAAATTGTCTAGTGATTTTGATCAAAATTATATGTAAATGTACAATTTATTTTAGGAAGGGTGACAACAAGTTGCTTTTGATGTCCAAATAGTTAAAAATAAGAATTTTTTTTCTAATTTGCACACCAGCCGATGTCAACAGATAATATTATGCATCTTACCTTTATCATAGGTTTCTTGCCATTCTTTGGCCTGGTGATCAGAAAAAGAAAAAAAAAATTAATATAATAATATCATAATTATATCATACAAATACCAATCTAACTCTTATTATATGACTGAATTTTTCTATCATCAGTATTGAACAATTATCTCGAATTTTCTTCATTAATTTTCCACCAGAAGGACATAATTTGCTATTGGCTAAAGGTTTTAATTAATTTTTGAGGAGGGAAAAGGGAAAAAGATTAGTTTGTACAAAGTGACAACAATTTACTATAGTGCTCAAAGGTTTTAACCTTGCATCCAAATTTATTACAATTTATGTTGAGGCTGTGTCGATAGTTTGTTATGTGAACACACTGATGACAAGATATAAACATTGGTACATGTAAATGAATGTTTCTGTGACCCTATGTCAATGCGATTTAGTAGGTTCGTTTTTTTTACTTCCCTTTTGACCATTTTGCAAAAATAAACTGCTATAGTGTGGTATTACGTAGAATCTTTGGGAAAATAATGTTCATGTTTGCATGGTTTGAGATGCTCATTTTTAAAAATCCCTGTACTTTTATTTGTTTGTTTGTTTATTGATTTACACATACTCACTCCCTGGGAATGGGAATGGTTACAGATAATCTGAAAGTAAACAATATTAATACACTAAAAAGGAAGGAATAAAAATACACTAATCTACAAAAACAGAATATTAATTAAACAAGCAGCCTGTCGGCTGAGATAGCTCTGCTGTTAGCAATGCACATGGCAATTAAAGAACAGAAGATATCATTAGAAAATGAACAAATCTGAGAGAGGTCCACATGTAGTACCTATATGTATAATATATCAAAGCAATCAGACTTGCTGTTTTCAACAAGAAGTCGAAAATATCACTTTTTACCAAAAATTACAAAAATATTCATCAAAATTAGAGAATTAAAGATATCATCATGAAATGAACAAATCTGAGAGAGGTCCACATGTAGTACCTACCGGGTATATATGTAAAATCAAAGCAATTGGACTTGCGGTTTTCAACAAGAGGTCGAAAATATCACTTTTTACCAAAAATTTCAAAAATATTCACCAAAATTAGAGAATTGAAGATATCATTACAAAATGAACAAATCTGAGAGAGGTCGACATGTAGTACCTATATATGTAAATATCAAAGCAATTGGACTTACAGTTTTTAACAAGAAGTCGAAAATATCACTTTACTAAAAATGACAAAAATATTCACCAAAATTAGAAAATTGAAGATATCATCATGAAATGAACAAATCTGAGAGAGGTCTACCCAAGGTACATATACACCAAGTATCAAAGCATTCAGGCTTGTAGTTTTCAAGAAGAAGTCGAAAAAGTAAAACATTGACACGGACGACGACGACGACGGAGACGGACAATCACTCATATGATAAGCTCCGCTCGACAAAGTCGACAGCGGAGCTAAAAAGCATTAAAACAACTCCTCCTGTAAGAAAGATACATAATAGTTTTAAGCCAGTTCAAGCCAGTTCATGATTGGTCGCTAAAGGTAGTCTTATAGCCTGAGGAGAGTAAAATTACCATTCTGAAAACTGAATAATAACATTTTTTTCATATTTTTGTGCAAGACAAACAGTTCCAGACATTGATTGCCAACGTTGTCTCTCCTGGCTTTTTTAATGTGCAATTTGCAGGTGCCAGTACTGAAATAGAGCGTTTTGCCACAGAGACGTATTCTATTTTGGGTCTACGTGACAGGGCTGCATGACAGTCTTCCTAACATAAATGGCAATTTAATGCGCTATATGCGCTATGCTGGCATCAAACAGGCCCAGTTGAACACAAGCACATGTAAACCTCAAAGCATGCACTTAACCTTCGAGTCAGTGGTGCACTCGCCAGGGTAGGGGGTTTGACACTTTTGAATGTTAAACCCAAAATAGGATTTACACTTGAACTTGGGTCTACCGATCACAAGTCTGATGCAACCACCATTATGTTACTGGTGGCCATTAAACTCACTTGCCTTAACAGACTAAGAAATATACAAGAAACATTTTGGACAAGTAGGTTTAAAAATTAACGTCAAACACTGAAAGTATTTTGAAAATAAAAGAACAAGAAGATTTAGTATTGCGAACACTTTGATTGCTGACTCATCGTTCATTTACCAATCATAAATTTTCAATACCAGCAAAGCTATGTTCATCTTTCAGTGCCAAAGTAAATTTTTGTCATTAAAAAAAAATGTTGTATTTCAAAGAATTTTCCCAAGATCTTGATAAAGACTTGTAACCCATAGACAATTATGTCAATTTGGTCTAAAATGATTAAAAAAATTATAGAAAAATGATAAAAAATAAGCAAAATGGAACACACAAATTTTGGAGGGAAAATTATGGCACCCAAAGAGTATCAATAGTAGACATAATATAGTATCATACGTCCATCATGGTTATTTTTGTGAAATAGTGGAAGGGGAAGGTGTAATGAAGGTTGATTTCCAAGAGTTTTCCAGACCTTTTGCCAAACTTTCTGGCACCCCCCCCCCCCAAGACATTTTGATCCTTAATTCAGGCCAACATCATCACCAAAGCTCATCAAAGTTCTGAGGACATGGTAGTTCCCTGAAGAAAACTGGCCTTTCTAAAATGAATTAATAACTATAAAGAAATTTTCAAAGATTTTTTTTACAACAACTCAAAAACTTTCCAGACCTCAAAAAATCCAAAGACTTTCAAAGGATTTTCCAAACGCTATGGACCAGGCCTGTATCGGCATGTTGAATTAAAAGTACACATGAACTATCAACAGCAGCCACAACACAAATTGTAAGAAATTTGGGTGTGTCAACGTTTGTCACTTTTCACGAAATGTAAACCGCTTAATTTTTTTATTTATTTATAAAAATTCAGATAAAAACCTGTAGCCAATGGAATACGAGTGTCCATTCGGCCCCAAAAAATTAACAAAGAAATGTTTTTATGTATTTTTTTATATATATTTTTTTGATAATTTGATATCAAATGGACATAATTGCTATTTCTCTACAAGTCTTGATAAATTCTTGGAAAAATTATGTGGGGGTATAAATTGTGAATGTTGACAAAAGTTGACTTTGGCGCACAAAGGGCAGTGGTCGAATTTTGTGTATAGATATAGTACACAGGTAGACGTACTTTATTAAATAAAGGCAAACAAAAGACTGTCTGCCACTCTTTACAGGATAGGATTAGATTACAGACATCACAACCAGTCTCCTATAGACATGAATTACCTGTCTGGGTAACACCCACATGAAATACAGACCCCATATTTGGATAACCTCAATCATATTTCCTGTCAAACTGCTAACCACTAAGTCCAGTATCGGTTAAATGTTAGCTTTAGGATACACATCGAAACATAACTACAGACTATTGTCAAATTCTTTATTTTAGCTGAAATTAATTTACATTAAAAAAACATTTTGGCCGTTTTGTATGAAGATTTTTGATGAGTTGAATGTGAAATATAGGAAAAATGCTATTTTCACAGGATTTTATACCATCCTCAAAATACATGATATCTTGTCTAACCCAGTTACAGTACAAGTGGTGATAAGTTAGTTATTGGAAAATGTTGAGCAATTGAATACAAGTCGTATATTTTTCTCCAATTTCCATGCATTACCAATTTACACTCACCCTAACAGGAATAATGCAAAATCTCCAAAATTGATTGAAATCACTCAATAAGTTACTTCCATATGAGCATGCAATTGCTCTATACCAGGTATTAGCTAGGCTTCATCCTTTGCATATGTCTGTCTCATTATCAAGATCAAGGTAACTTCATACTATAGTTTCTGAACTTCAAATACTTTCCAAATTACTTGAAAAGCATGTCTATATATACTTTTATGTATTGTATTGATTCATAGTCTGGGTTTCACAAAGTTCACTCATGCGAGACAGTCTTGTGCAAAGTTATTCATGACTGGTTACAGGCTACCGATAATGGCCAGCTAAATGGAATTATTTTTATTCACTTGGTCAACCATGGGGTACTTCTTAAAAAAACTTGTAATTTACAAATGTAATGGCAATTCGTTTGATGGTTTGATTCCAGGCTACTCTCTTTAAATAATAAAATAAAAAATAATGCAAGTCTAATCCAAGAGTACAACTTGAACCAAACACTTATCATTTCATGGCTGCTCATTTCAATTGCACTGACAAGATGAACAAATTTGGTTTACACAGTTGTAATTGAGGAGCAAGAAATAAAGTATAGACAAGCAAACAATGTACTGCATGAAAAGATTTACTAGAAATGTTTAGGAAGTGCTTTGATGGTCTTTCGATATGGGACTCATTGTGAATAACACAACACATTAACGAACATTATTTTAACGAAAGTGCCATTTTCTAAACCAGTGTCAACAGTATATTTATTTTCATCTCTTCTTTTTTTTTTCTTAGAATAGTATTTCACTATGCTCTGTTCAAAATGAATGTCAATAAAGTTATTATTATTATTATATAAATACATTGTTTACATGACATTTGAACATGTGCTGTGCCATGACCACTCCCCTTTAACTTTATAGACCTTAGGGTCTAAGATTTAGTATATTCAACAAAAAAATCTATATTCACCCGACTTCTATTGCATTTTATATTCAGGTGAAATTGTTTGAATAAATATATTTCACTTCAGAGGTCACCACTATGAAACATCCATCACCACAATTACACAAACAAAGACCACACCCCCCTGGGACAAATGCCACCCCTGTGAAAAACGTGACCTAGAAAGTCATTGCAAACCCTTTGAGCACTATCATTTTTCTCAGCAAAATTTAGGAGCAATATTTTGTTCTTTTTATGTACTTTTCTATATTTTTTGATAATTTTGAACCAAAAAAACATAACTTACTATTGGCTACAAATCTTGATCAAAGTTTTTGGAAAATAATGAAAAAATTATATGGGTTTTATTTTTGTTTAAAGTGAAGTGCTTGAAACAGATAAATACATTTTACACCTCTTATATACGAA